TATTTATAAGGTTTTCACTGGCCAATTCTTTGAGAAGTGGACAGCTCCTTCCTTCTTCTGAGTCTATCTTTGTCTGGGGGCTCTGCTTAAACCTGTCCAGCATGGGTTACCCTGGTAGTATTTGAAATACCGGTAGCATAGCCTCTAGCCTCACAGCAACACACAAGCCACCACAGTATGACAAACTGATAGATGAGTGATGGATGCATATCCTATGATCCAGCAATTCCACTCTTATGTATATACTCAGTGGAAATGTGTACATATGTGTACCAAAAGACAGGTACAAGAATATTTTAGTAGCATTGCTTGTAATAACTCCAAAATGGAAATAACACAAATGTCTATCAACAATTGTTGTTGTTAGGTGCCATCAAGTCATTTCTGACTCATAGCGACCCCATGCACAGCAGAATGAAACACTGCTCAATCCCGTGCCAGCTCCATGATCCCTGCTATACTTGAGCCCATCATCGCAGCCACTGTGTCAATCCATCTCGTTGAAGGCCTCCCCCTCTTTTGTCGACCCTCCACCCTACCAAGCATGACATACTTCTCCAGGGAATGGTCTCTTCTGACAACATGACCAAAATAGGTGAGACGAAGTCTGGCCATTCTCGCTTCCAAGGAGCATTTCGGGTGTATTTCCTCCAGGACAGATCTGTTAGTTCTTTTAGCAGTCCATGGTACTTTCAGCATTCTTTGCCAGCACCACAACTCAAAAGCATCAACTCTTCTTCAGTCTTTCTTATTCATTGTCCAGCTCTCACATGCATACGAGGTGATGGAAATATCATGGCTTGTGTCAGGCACATCTTAGTCCTCAAGGAGACATCCTTACTCCACAGCACTTGAAACAGATCCTTTGCGGTTGACCTTCCCAATGCTACACGTTGTCTAACGTCCTGACTGCTGCTTCCATTGGCATTGATTGCAGAACGAAGCAACGTGAATTCTTTGACAACCTCAATCTTTTCTCCATTTATTGTGATGTTGGTCATTGGTCCAGTTGTGAGGATTTTTGTTTTCTTTATGTTGAGACGTAACCCATACTGCAGACTGTATTCTTCAACCTTCATCAGTAAGTGCCTCAAGTCATCCTCACTTTCAGCAAGCAAAGTTGTATCGTCTGTGTATCTCAGGTTGTTAATGATTCTTCCTCCAATCCTGATGCCACGTTTTTCTTCATATAGTCCAGTTCCATCAACAATAGAATGTATGAATAAATTGAAGTATAACTGTATGTGGTATTTAATAATCATGCAAGACTATAGAGAAACAAAAATTAATAAACTGCAGCTATATGAATTAATATAGGTGATGAATCTGACAAAGATAACCACAAACCCACTGCCATCATGTTGATTCCAACTCATAGTGACCCTATAGGACAGAGTAGAACTGCCCTATAGGGTTTCCATGGCTATAAATCTTTATAGAAGCAGACTGCCTCATCTCTTTCCCATGGACCAGCTGCTGGGTTTGAAACACTGAACTTTTGGTTAGGAGCTGAATGCCTTAACCATTCCACCACCAGAGTGCCCCCCTCACAATCATAATGTTGAATAAAAGAAGCCAGACACACAGAAAAAACATATATAGCATGATTGTACTAACATAAAATTGACAAATGGACATTTATGATGTTAGAAGTCAGCACAGTGGCTACCTGGGAGCAGCATGGAGTAGCAACTGGGAGGAAACATGGGCTTCTGGGGTGCTAGTAATGTTATTTTTATTGACTTGGGTGGCAGTTATATTAATTCCCTTTCTGGTAATTGATCAAGTTACTCAGTTATGATTTGTGCACATTTCCATATCTATGTCTGAGTCAATAAAAAATATTTATTCAAAAAGGCAAAAAAGGTCACTTATAACTCCTGAGGATTCATAGAATGTCTGAGGGTAAGTCCCAAACATTTATATATATATATATATATATATATATATATATAT